TCTATTTTGAGTTGTCCGTATATATTAGGATTAATATAATTACCTGCGTGGATTGTTTGATGAAGAATATTAAAAATATATTATAGTAATATGATAAATAGCATTTTTAGAATAATTATAAGGATTAAAAGAATTTAGTTTGGCAAAAGAATTATTTTTAGATAATTATAATAATTTAAAAGAATTTCTTTTGGAAAATGAATTAGTTTAGATTAATTGTTAAGCGAAATAATTTAAAATGAATTAATTTAGAAAAAGATTATTTTCTGAATTATGTAGATGCTGTTTATGATTTATAATTCTTATTTTGATTATCTGATATGCTATGATATTATTGGACATGATTAGTTGCATTGATTGTTCTTTTTTGTGATTGAGAATTGTTAAGAGTTCATGACTATAGTGACCTATATGACATAGTTAGGATCTAGAACCCCGTGTGTAGTTGAGCTGGAATTACGAGAATTGGGGGGAAAAGTCTTGGTCCATGTGAGCGGTTGGGATTGTTGATGTATATTCCAGGCTCACGCCGGTGAAGTTTGTGTAGTCACCGGGGTGGATCTGAGGAGCTGTGATATATGCGATTGTGATTATATTACGGGCTCACGCTGGTGAAGTTTGTGTAGTCATCGGGGTGGGTCTGAGGAGATGAGATATTATGATTGTGATTGTATTCCGGGCTCGCGCCAGTGAAGTTTGTGTAGTCACCGGGGTGGGTCTGAGGAGTTGGGATATTTATAATTTGTGATCTATCAGTTATCCAATAATGTGAACCAGTGACCTGTTATAGGATGGCTAGTTACATGACTCGTTTCTTGGCTAATTATGAGTTCTTGTGGGATATAGGCTAGTTGTGGCACGGACAGCGAGTCCAGAGCGGTGCTCGCGGCGAAGGGGCAAGGGGAGCGGAGAGCTCAGGTCAGGAGGTCAACGAGGGTGCGGCTCGACAATGGGCTGAGCTGGCGACTTGGGTGCGGTTCGTCGGAGCATGGGTAGGCCGTCGGAGATGGAAGATGCAGTTGATGGCCGTTGGGTTTTGAGATAGGGATGGGGGGCATGAGGGTGAGGAAGAGGTGAGACGAGGGCTGGAGCTGGAGCGGCGGCTAACGGCGACGCCGTGTGGGTAAGGTCAGATATGGCTGTCGGAGGCGCCGGTTCAGAGAGGTAGCAAAAAAACGGCGATGGGTGGGGCTGCGTCATTTGGGTCTAGGGCGACGGCGAGCGGATCCGTGTTGGGCACGATTGGCTGGCCGGCTTGCCGTCGGAATGTCTCGGCGGCGTATTTGTGGCAGCGCTGAGTTTAGGGAGGCGCTGGCGATTGTTCCGACCAGCAGGCCGACGACGAAAACCGATGGCTGGGGTTCGGTGGGAGGCGTCTTGGGGAATGGTCGCGTGGGGGTAATGATCTAAGGTAGTGCGTGGCGGGTCGGGTTCGGTGCTTGAGGATAGAGCAGAATAAGAGAGGTGGTTTTACTATTTAGGGTGTGAACTGAATGGAGAGAGAGAACGAAAAGAGAGAGAGTACGGCTGTGATGGAAATAAGATGAGAGAGAGAGAGAGAGAGAGATTTTTGCACGAGATTTTGGGGAGTATATTTGATATGTTTTTGAATTTTGAAATTTTGAGAATGAGAAAAAAGGAAAGAATGATTTGAGGCTGGAGAAAAAAATCTTGGGGAGTGATTTAAGGTTGATTGAAAATTTGATTAGGGAAAATTTTGGAAGGAATTCAAATGAGAGAAAATTAAGGGGAAAGAAGATTATGGGAAATATATCTCTTTATTTATTTATTCATAATATTTAAAAATAATCATTATAATAATTAACCATATAATAATATTAATAAATAATTAACAGCTAAATATTTATATATTTACATATGTACTAATGTACTAAGCTCAGGTTTACATTAATAATAACAAAGTGATTAATAATGTCAGTGACCAAATAATTATTAAAAATTCACTAAACTATAAATTAATATTTAGCAGAACTAATAAATACAGGACTATATATTTTATTTATTTATTTATTTATTTATTTATTTTGAAAACTCAAAATTTCTAGAAATTGGGAAAATATTAATAAAATAAAATTGAATATTTTAAATACTAGAAAAATTATTTAAATACGTATCGAAAATTCATGGTCCTTACAGTAGGTATTTGTAAGACTCACAAAACTTTAAGACCAATTCCAACAGACGTCCTTTCGACTATGTCTTTTTTCAAACCCTTAGCTAATAAGGATTAGCCACATTCTCTGAAGACCGGACGTTAATCACAGAGATGACTCCTTAACAAATGAATTCTCTCAAATAGTCATGCTTCAAACGAATGGTCCACTTCTTTCCATTGAACATCGAGTTTGCTGCCACAACACTCGCCGCCTGATTATCATAATAGATAGTAATTATACCTTGTAATTCTGTTAATGGAAGGTCTCGGAGAAAATAACTGAGCCACTCAGCTTCATCTCCTGCAGCACATAGTGTGAAGAACTCAGATTCCATCGATGATTGGTCAATCATAGTCTGCTTCTTATACTTCCACGAGACGACATCTCTACCCATGATGAAGGCAAAACCTTCAGTAGATTTGCACTCATCTGGTTCTGATCACCAGCTAGCATCTGAATAGCCTTCGATTACAGTCGGATATCCAGTGTAGAATAGACCCAAATCTGTAGTTCCTTTCAAGTATCTCATCAATCTCTAAATAGTATCCTAATAAAGCTTTCCAAAATTACTTATGAATCTACTAAGCATTCCTACATCGAATGCTATGTCTGGCCTTGTGTAGCTCATCACATACATAAGACTTCTAATGATCTTTGAGTACCTTAGCTGCTCTACTGGTCTTCCAGTGTTCGGTCGTAGCTTCTTGTTGCAATCATACGAAACTGACAGTTCTGGCAGGTCGTAGTAGCCATACTTTCTTGGCATGCTCTCAACATAATGAGATTAGGACAATCCAATACCCTCTTTAAAGTATATGATTTTGATTCCGAGAATTACGTTTGTACTTCCAAGGTCCTTCATGTTGAACTGTGCTGAAAGAAATTTCTTAGTAGATATTACTATTTCCAAATCACACCCGATGATGAGTATATCATCCACATAGAGACATAAAACCACCACCTTTCCTTCAGCAACCTTGATGTATAGGCACTAATCAGATTTACTAACTTGATACTCATTGTTGCAAACAACCCCATCAAACTTCTCATGCCAGGGTTTCGATGCCTGCTTAAGTCCATATAAAGACTTAACAAGTTTACAAACTTTACCAGCTGGAGCATCAAGTCCTTCTGATTTTTCCATGTAGATCTCTTCTGTGAGATTTTCATTGAGAAAGACAGTCTTCTCATCCATCTGATGTATGATAAACTTTTTATCGCCGCCCATACGATAAGCACTCTGATGGTAGTAATCTTACAAACTGGTGCATAGATATAAAAGAAATATATTCTTTCTTTTTGAGAGAATCCTTTTGCCACCAGTCTTGCTTTGTACTTCTCAATAGCACCATCAGGATGAAGCTTCTTCTTAAAGATCCACTTACAACTGATAGGCTTTGCACATTCAGGTACATCCATTAGCTCTCAAGTGTGATTTTGGATCAATAAATCAATCCCATCATCTACAGCTTCTTTCCACAAAAGAACGTCTGTTGACTGCATTATTTCTTAGAAAGTTTGTGGATCTCCTTCCACATTATAGGTGATGAAGTCATTTCCAAAATCTTTCTATCTCCTAACACACTTGGAAGGTGGTTCGGTAACTCCTTCATCATTGACACTTTTAGTTTCTCGCGAAACTGGCTCCTCTGGTGCTTTTGACGTACTAGCATTCTCTGCATCCTGAGCTTCAATGGTCTCTGGTGCATCTAACGTACCAGCATTCTTTGGTATATTTTTGAGCAATAAACATTTATCCTTGATAAACTTGCCCATAAAGAACTCTGCATCCCGAGCTTCAATGATGGAGTTCGTTCCAAGGTTCAGGAATTTGTAAGCATCACTATCTTCAGCAAAGCTAAGAAACACACACCTGTTTGCCTTTGGTCCGAGCTTAGGCCTTCTAATATCTGGAACTCGAACATATGCGAGACACCCCCCACACTTTGAGACTATCCAAAAGATCTAGATATCCCAACCATAATTGTTGAGGAGTATTGTCAGTTTTGGAATAGGGTACTCAGTTTAGAATTCAGTTTTCCATTAGCATAGCCTTTCCCCAATAGCAGGTAGGTAGACCAGATGTGATTAGCATCGAATTCACCATCTTGGTCAATGTGTGATTCTTCCTTTCTGCAATCCTATTGGATTGCGAAGAATATGGAGCAATAGTTTCAACAATGATTCAATGCTCCTTAAAGTATGCTTCCGACTCTTTAGATCGGTACTCTCCTCCTCTGTCGCTTCTGAGTCTTTTCACCTAAAGTCCAAGCTGCTTCTCCACACGAGTCTGAAACTCGATAAACTTGCTGAAAATCAAGATAGCGAAATGTAAACATTGCTTGTTTGAATGTGATGGACGTAGTTCAAGGGGTACTACACACATTAGAAATCACATTTTGAAGTGCTCAAAGTATCTATTTTATGGTATTCAATATTTTTTATTTTTTATTCAGGGCCTGCTATGATGTTCTGAGGTTTGTCATACAGAATAGCAACAAAGTCTATGAGGTAACTTGTCTTACTTTGCGAGTTATTAAAATCATATGTATTTTTATCATATCCTATTAATATCTATTTCCCAAATATCCAATTAGTATCCGTATCACATCCGTATCCGACTCACTAATATCCGAACCGTTTCCGTTTCCGTTTAATGCGGATATGGTAATGCTTTTTTTTACTGATGAATATCCGAACCATATCCGTATTTGTTTTCAGAAAATAGTTATGATTATAATAAATGTCATATCCGAACCGTATCGAAAGCAAATGAATGGGATTATAAGGGACCAGCGAGAAATTAGAAATAAGAGTGGAGAGATAATATAGAATCTTCTTCTTTAGCCCTTAGGATACGAGCACAAAGGCGGCACCTTTTCTCAATTCTAAACCCTAAATCTCTTGCAATCGCTCGGTCTATCAATCAATCGCCCCGATTCAAGGTCAGTCGATTTCTTCCCTTCTATTCATCGAATCCTCATTTAGGTTTTCTCTTTCATGAACAATCTTTTTTATCCTCCAGAGTTTCTCTCTTGCTTCTTATCTGTATCGAGCATTTCTTGAAATTCCGAATTCATCCTATGTTAGAAAAGAAAAAAGCAATACTTGAAAATTACATGTATATATATACGTGAATGAGCCCGGACCTATCGTTCAAAATTATGTATTTTGCGTTAAACGGTTTATATAGCATTGAATTCGGATTGTTGCGTATCAAGAGTTTGTGAGATTTTCTGAACCTTTAATAAATTTAATTTTATTACTATTCAGACCTGTGTAGTTTTATCCGTCCATTGGAATCTAGAAACAGCTTCTCTCAGATTTTGGTAAGTCTAAAATATCTTTGTTAATATAACTCAAGAACAAGGTTTAAAGACTTGAAATGCCCATCTCAGCCAATATATTGTGCCCAAAATTGACACAAATTGCCGATACCGAAGCAAAAAGGGAAAAGGGATCAAATGGTAAGCAAAACAGGAAGAGAGAATCAAATGATACGCAAAACAAGAATCAAATGAATACAGAAAAAATGGACAGTGAAGCCGAGAAAGCATTTAGAGTTTCATTACTTATCACCCTTGTTTCTTTTCCTCTAGTGCGAGAAATCTAGGTTGCTCTCTCATATAAGCTTAGAATTTGGATATAAGTTTTGAGCTCTAATAGAACTGAGGTACTATTGAGACGGTCTTCTATTAATATTTATTGGTTGGCCAGTTACAGTAGGTTAAAGTCGATTGAATGGGGCTGATTCAGATTGGATTCAAAGAAAACCCAAATTGTAACTCCACTTGAGCAGGTAATGACAATTAAATATGTAAAAGCAAGATCAATAAATATTAGTCTGTTATAATATATTAATACGAAGAGATAAGAAATTATGTAAAATCTATAAACATGTGGATAGTAAGCATACACCATGATAATTAGTGGCCAAATGTGATATTAACAAACAATTAGAAAATCATAAAAATTCCCTACTTAACACAATATATCTCCAGTTCCATTTTGTTTTGATATATTCTGTTTTGCTAAGTATGAATATAGGTTAAAAGAATGTGTAGGTTGAGCAGATAATTTAAAAAAATTTGCTGGTCATTGCCATAATAGTACATCCAGTTGTTTTTTCTTTTTAAGTCGATCAAACAAAAAATCAAAGGGGTAACTCATGTAACAATAAATTTCACCTTTGACACAGCAGAGTTTTTCCTTCTCTAACTGCATGTTACCTTACAAATAATAACCATCTTAAGGTGTTTTACATATATGCTGCATCACAGTGAATGATCAATTTATTTATAATTTTTTCTTGAATCTTCTGATTCGAAATAATTGCTTCATCTTATAACAGGTTCTGCATCATGGAATTAGGTCAGGCAGGTACATTGTCCAGATGTAAATTCTTCTATACTCTTCGTTTAGAGCTAAATTCAATCTTTAGAAAAAACATTTGATTGGAGAATAGTGAGCAAATCTTTCATGTTAAGAAACATGATTGATCTTCATTCTTCAAACAAGTTTTTGGAGGTTGGTGGGACTGGCATTTTTTGTTTAGTTTTTTGTCATATTTATCCTTTTGTTCCATGCTTGTTTTTTTCTATGTTCCTGCATGTGGTTTCTTCATATTTAAAAACTGGGTGCACAGGCACGTTTCTATACAATCTCAGTTCTATGTCAAGCAAGCATAGAATTTTGTGATCATCAAGCAACTTAAAATCTTCATTTTTCAAACAAGTTTTTGGAGGTTGGTGGGACTGGCATATTTTGTTTAGTTTTTTTTTTTGGATATTTATCCTTTTGTTCCATGTTTGTTTTTTCTATGTTCCTGCATGCTGTTTCTTCACATTTAAAAACCGGGTGCACAGACATATTTCTATACAATCTCAGCTCCTTGTCAACCAAGCATAGAATTTTGTGATCATCAAGGAACTTAAAATCTATTCACATTTAGTATTCTTCTTGCAAACTCAAGTAGCTTTTCTACTGAAGGTTAAAACACTTATATTCAGGTGAAACTTATTGTGGTTTTTGCATTTTCATAAAATTTTAGATTATCACGCTTCTATTTTTTAATGCGATGATATGTATTTAAAGTTTAATTTATTTTCTACTTTGCCTGTTCATTTTCTCCTTCAGCTTTGTGCAAACGTGCAGTTAAACTAGAATTGGATGAGTTAAACACAATCAGGTTTAGTCCTGAATTTGTCTTTGCACTTGAATCATGCTTTTTTGATATATATGAGATATTGCGTCCTAGACCTGGTGAATATGAGCAGCGTGAGGCTTTGGTTCGAGCTTTCAACTTGTTGGCAAAAGATGCGTTTGGTAAAACTTCTAATACTTTATTGCCTTTTAACTTTGTTGAAACATGTACTTGACTTGTGGATTTGTTTTTGATTCGAAAATTGGAAGGCCTGTAGTATTGTCATGTAGAAATCTCTTGTTATTGTTGTAGAGATACATAAAGTCTCTGAATATCTTATTGAATTAGAATTCAGTATCATCATGATAGATAATGGTTTGACTAAGTCTGAGGTGTCTCCTCGGACTTTTGGTGCTTATTGATTCTGTGTCAGACCTCCTCATTGAAGTTCTATATTGATGGTGCTATGTGGATGTTTTCAGACATAGTTACCTAGGTTCTCAGAAGTATGTTGTACTTCCAATAGGCTATGGATTTAGACTTAATTAATCTTGTATGAGAGCATCTGCTACTATATGCATATGCGTAAAAACTTGTTATAACATGTAAGCCTTTGAATCAAATATAATAATGCATTATTCTGTTAATTTCATTATCAATTAACATTTGATCCCTTTATATTTTTGTTTTATTATCAACATGATGTTATGTTTTGTTATGCTTACAATATCAAATCAAATTCTTTAATCAAACATTCAATTAACAGATTATTAGAGGCAACATGATGCAGAAAGCTCTCATTATGTGTGGGGTCTAGGGAGGATCGAACAATGTGGGGTCTATTATATGCAGACTTACCTTACATTAATACAAGAGGTTGTTTCCATGACTTGAACCCGTGACTGTGTGACCCCCAGGTCGCCGGGAGACTACTCTTGCAGTTGGTGCCATGACAGATTTTCACATCACCATATAAAGGAATAATTTCAAATATAAGTATAAAATTTTAGATATTACTAAAAGAATTGTTACGTTGCAAAGGCCCATCAGTGGTGATAGACTGGGCTAATCTGCTTAGGCTCAATGGACTTAAAAGGATCAACCCTATTTGAATCATTAGTCCAAGCATATTTAGCGATATATCCATCTACCTCCTCCTCCAATTTTGGAATTAATCACATCTTTTGCCTGTTTTGCTAAGTATACGTACACTTTATCTGGATATATGCAATCCTAACAAATCTACATCTTAACTTGGTTCAGTTGAGGTCAACTGGAGCCCAGTATAATAGCTGAATGGCTAATAGAGATAGCATCTCAGTGTACCCACTTTACAAATGAACATAGCACACTGCACACAAGTGTGACAAAATGTGAATCCAAGTGAGCCCTAACCAAACCAAGTTACACGAGCCAGCAGGACCAAATATAACACCTTATGCACTCCACCTTGAGCTCTAACCCATGAAAGTAGAGTCTCGAGGACATAAAGGTATTTATTAAGGGCCCATTGAGCCATGAGCTCCGATACCAATTTGTTTTAACTTTTAACCTTACAAGTTTTAACCTTACAAGCAAGCTCATGTGTCATCCATCTATCTATCTATATTAGAAATATGAAAACCCTTACATATATAAATTCATGAACATGTATCTAAGGATTATCTAACACTTACCCGATAATTTAGCTCTCGATTCTTATAATGCACTCAATTTTATCTTACCATTCAACTTATCGCCTACTCTCTTGAGTACTAATTCTTTCTACCAAATTATGGATTACTTAGAAAAATCATTCTTCAACTTGCAAGTATCCATTTTCATGGATATCAATAACATTCTTATATTCATACCTACCTAGCTGAGTCCTTTCCCTTTATGTGAATGGAATCAGCACAAAGAACACCACTGTGCAAGACAAGTGATGTTAAAATTAGCGACTGAGAAAGGTAGAAAAGACAACTGCACTTAGAGAAATATTCGAGAGAGCTGTGCCCTCAGATAATTTCCTATCCTTTGCAGCTCGAAAAATGACATTTTTCTTATTCTAGTCAGAATAAAATGGTATGGGTTGGGGGGGACGGGGGGATCTGAAAGGTTAATTGGGGGGGGGGGGAATCAAAGTCATCTTGAAAATTTCTAGTGTAAAAAATGTTGTTGATTGCATCAACCTCCATAAGGTGGTTCTACTTTTTATACACGTCATGCAACTTAATTGGTTTGAGTGGAACTAACTTAGTTTCATTAAAAAAATGCCTTTTTTCTATAAATAACACTGGAGAAAATTTTATTATTTTAGTAATACATGGTAATGCATGAAGGAATATTTTATTGTAAATATACTTTTAATACTGTTAGGTCATCAATATTTGTATGACCCGTGCCACTGCAGCACTATAATCTTTTCCTGCAGTTCTGTTGCCATAAGCCTACAGCAATCTAATTTGAAATTAGTATAGATATATCCTCACCACTTATGTGAATAATAAGCTTTCTTGCTGTAATGTTTATCTTTTATTTCCAATGCTAGGAAAGGCAATGTATGTTCCTGTGGCCTAATGACGTTTCATATTGGCGGTCATGAAATTCTATATGTACATGTGTGAACTATGATCTCATTCATGAATAAATGACGATTGGTTTATTTACTTTACAGTTTTAGAATATCTATTATTATATACATGCTTTTGCTGTCAAAATACATTTGTATTCTTGCATTATCATATAATGTAGCATTATCATATATGTCACATATCGTATGTAGTACTACATTCTCTATGTCATGAAATTCTATATGTACATGTGTGAACTATGATCTCATTCATGAATAAATGACGATTGGTTTATTTACTTTACAGTTTTAGAATATCTATTATTATATACATGCTTTTGCTGTCAAAATACATTTGTATTCTTGCATTATCATATAATGTAGCATTATCATATATGTCACATATCGTATGTAGTACTACATTCTCTATAACCGAGGATTTTGGTTGTCGCTTCTAGTTACCTATCCATCCTTCTCTTTCCTCCACCCGATCACCTATCCACCAATGTATATTTTTGATACTCTCATTCTTCTCTCTACTTGTTCGCTGTCTTCATCTGACAAGGAAATTTATTACTTATTGGCCTTCTTTTTTGTTTTCAGGTAATAATAAGGGGTTTCCTGTTGTGGAAGCCTTTGGATCTTTCACAATGGACTTATTCACTGCTGGAAGTGATTTGGATCTATCTGTTAACTTCAGTAATGATTATACGACAGAATTCCCTCGTCCTAAGAAGATTTCTGAACTTAAGAAGTTTACCAGATTCTTGTATAAAGTTCAAAGTAATGACTAACACGTTAACCTGTTTATGGGCATTTTTCCTTTAAATTTAGTATTTGATTGTACTTTAGCGTGTGGTCTGGGACTTGAAGCCAACTCTAACTAAATAAGAAATATGTTTAGACTAATTTTGGTATTTCTAAAGTGCCATTTTTAGCCTAAGGTTTGACTACATATGTAGGCAAAACAAATGGCACAATTTATGCCCTTCCATAGTGTGTCATACAATGTTTTAAAAAGCATCCGCCTAGGCCTAGACGATATCTTGGTTGCCTAGCTAGCACCTAGCGCCTAGGCGGTACCCAGGCTGCCCATCTAGGTTTTGGGAGCGCCTAAGAGAATATGGTCTGCCTACATGGTCTGCACCCTTTAGGCGTTGATCATGATTTCCTCCATTACAGCCTCCACGTCCTCCAGCCTCCAACTCCAACTATGAACACCTCTACCTCTCCAGATCTTCAACAAAATATCCTCTACCACCACCTAAGAAATCCGCCTAGGTGTCAGTCCAGCGTGTAAGCATTCTATAACATTGGCATTTACTGTCAGTAATTATTATTAAAAACTAAAAAAATAGAAAAACGCTTTGGCCTCGCCTAGGGTCTAGGAGTCGGGTCCAACGCCTAGGCCACCTAGCGATTTCTGTAACCTTCGTGTCGTATGAAATTGCTCCTCACTTTTCTTTTGATAGACCCTTCTACATCTGAGAAGAGTATCTTTGAGAAAGCAAGCAAAGTTAACAGTTCATACTTATTTTTTGGATAAGGTTATTAATGCAAACTATACCAAAGGAGACAAAACTTCCTCTATCCCAACTTTGGTTACAGATTCATTTTGTTGCTACGCATTCCTATGTCTCCATTGTTATAAGACAAGATGAACCTTTTCTTTTATTATTTATTTATTTATTTTTTGTGTTTGAGAATTATATACAATTTACTGTTTGAAAGAAATCTCCAAACTTTCCAGGAATATAGCTACTAATGACACACACTAGACACTACCTTGTGCCTTGTAACAAAGGAGAAAATTTCCTTAAACCCAACGGCTAGATTTATTTGGCCCCTATAAACTGTTGTGTTTTTTTATGTGAAATAGTTCATCGGATCATAATGTCAAAAACAATTAAATTTTATTTCATGTTTGAGAACGATAAATAAATTAGTTACTATTTCACCAAGAGAAATACAACCTTTGCGGACTATAGCTATTTCCAGTCATGTACTGTTCCTTGCTTAACTTGCTTAGGATTAAAGAAGGTCCCTATATACGGCTTTTTTTAGGAGTGCAATTTTAGAAGAAGTTTTAACCTTGGTGCCTGCAGTTTGTAAAATCATGCCAGTAATGAATTCTAATGTTTAACACAAAGCAATAGTCAACTTAAAGTATGATGATGAGAATAAAAGAATTATGAGGAAAAAATTGAATACGTATATAGGGTATTACTTAAACAGTGGACAACTATGGTCGACATTTCGTAACTGCTCTATGCTTTTATTGTCCTCCATGAACATCGTCATTCTCAAGAGCCTTATTGGTCGTCATTCTCCAGATTTTCTGCTAGATCTAGACTTGAATCTTTGCTTTGGGATGACATTTGGGTATCATTTAATTCAGTCATTTCTATTTTCTGTTATCTATTTTGTTTCATCATTGCTGCTTCAGTAGGTGTTTGCAACTTAACTCTTTCTCAGAAACATTTGAGATTACCAATTGCGTTTATTCTAAGTTTTTATTCTTATTATTTACTGAAATCCAACAAGTGGCCTTTCACCTTTGTGAGGTTGTTCTTTTATCTGTAATTAGGCTGACATATTCTTTTCTAATTCAACTCCTTAGCTGCACAGTGGACTGCATGTAGTATAACCTATATCCATTATTTAATTCATTTTTTTAGTTTCTTGTCTACTCATTATTTAAAAAAAAAATTTGATTAGATCATGTGCCGTCACTCCTCAGTTCCATTTATACATCCTCTCAAGCGCCAGTTATCGACATTAAATGCAAGTCAAACACTGAGGGGGTCCCTTTGTTTAACATCATTTTGGATGTTGCCAACTGTTGTGTTTTTCATGTGTTATACTAATGCTCATGGATGTCTACCGAATATTCTTTGTTGAATTTCAAGTTGGCATTGTCTGAAAGCTGTTGCTACTGGGTTGTCATCATGTTTGGAGACACTTGGAAGTTGTAATGAATGGTTTACTATGGTTGAGGACTCTAGGACTAACAGATGAAAGCATATGGTTACAGATCAAAAGCAAACAAAGTTGCATGTGAGATATATTACCATGAAACACGTAGCCCCAAACTGAGTTGATATCACATAATAATTTTTGTTGCATATTACTACCATTTACAATACATGCTATTCGAATTTTATACTTGTGTGAAGCTTATTTTGAAAGTAATTTGCAGAATTTTGCTAATATATTTTAATGAGATTGCAGGAAAGGGTCACATTTCCAAGATCATACCTATCCTGGGAGCCAGAGTGCCGGTTGTGAAAGTAATTGATTCTGGCACTGGAATTGAATGTGATGTTTCAGTTGAAAACAAGGATGGTGTTTCCCGTTCGTCTATTTTCACAATTGTCTCTTCAATTGATGGAAGGTTTCAGATACTAAGTTATCTGGTATGATACTTTATTTTCTCTGCTAAAGCTACTCTTAATTAATCTGGGTTTGAAATTTTGGAGTTATCTTTTTTTTAACATATGTTACTTATTGATCCAAAGGCTTATGTTTCAATCAAAAAAATTTCTTCTGTGTCAGGATGTCTTGCTTTTATTTTTGATTTAAAGCAAGCAAGAATGTCAATGTATTCTGGGGTATCATTGTTTATAAGTCAGCTGTCATATATTTTGGCCATTTGATTTCGTTTCATGCATTTTCTGCAGATGAAAGCTTGGGCAAAGGCTTATGATATCAACAGCTCAAAAGATCGCACCATGAGCTCTTTGTCTGTAATATCTCTAGTTGCTTTTCACTTGCAGGTACGCAAACATGTGTCCTATCCAAATGAATGCTCCAAAGATTATTTGTCTTATTAACTTCTTTTGATGATCTTCGTTAGAGAATTTAAAACCTTTGGTCATACATAATTAATCACTGAAGATTCTTATTAGAACTATTGGTCAAGTTAAGTTTGGTCATACGGAATTAATTACTGAAGAGTCTTATTAGAACTACTAGTCAAGTTAAGATGTGAACATGCTCTATCTAGTTATGTCAATGGATGATTATTGTAAAACGTTTTAGTCCAAAGAGTGTAATGTATTTCGAAATCTGTTTATTCAGAATTCCACTCGAATCAGCTCTTTTTTTTTTCTTGTTCTCTCTCTTTCATCTCAACACGTGCTGTTTGAACAAAGATTTGCTGTTAAAAACTGAAGCCTAACAACTTAATAATGTGGGATGCAACTGAAAAGGCAAGCACAAAGTATCAAGACAGTAATTCAGATAATTAGGACATATCAAAAGTAGTAAGAATTTGAAGCTTCTTGAGCTTAGAGTCCTTATTGTGAATCTCCACCATGGCCAAATCACCCTGTCATAGTTTTTTTTGTATCTGCCTCATTGTAATTATTAAAATTGAAGGGTTTGACTTCTCCTCAGTTTTATATTTTCCCAGGGCCAGGTATATTATGAAAAGATGGGCACTAATTAGCTCCCAGATTTAACTATAGAAATATGAAGAACACTACTAAGGCCTAAGGGACATGATATATATAGTTAATCTGTGTGTAGCTAATATGTAATCTGAAATCTGATTGCCTTTTTCATTATGATTTTTTTATGCAGCACAGACGCAAGACCCTCCCATATTACCTCCTTTTTCTGCATTATTGAGAGGTAATTGTGCAGGAATCTTTACTTCTGACATAAGAACTGTTTATATTGTATACTGTCATATATCTCAATGGTGAAGAAATGCTTGAATTTCATTATGCACCGATTAACCATGATAGTGTTTAGTTTATTCGACATACATTGTTAGCCTAAAGGCAACAAGCACAAGCTTTTGGATAAAGTGATTTCTTGACATGATTTTAGAACGCAAGGTTCTGGTCTTGGGTTCAAACATCATTGCTATTAATCTAAATAAGTGCTCCTACTTATCCAAATTCTGCCTTTCCAAGCTACATATCCTTAAAACTGGATGTCTTTGCACATGATCCAACAGTCCAATATGTCTCGTAT